AAATTTTGTGGCGCGTGACACTTTTTAGAGATCAGATCCCGGAAGATGGCCTCCGACGTGCCTTCGATTGCCTTACGCAGTAGTAAATTACTGTCCGCTCGTGAGGCCTCGATAGCTGATCACAAGGAGCGACTTGGTAGAGAAGAGGGAATTCGGCATACACCAGTGATCAATCGTCGAAGCCGGTCTTTGGCGCGCACGCGGAAGGATTTGGATACCTGGGCGGAAGAAGTGAGACGTCGGAGGGAGCAGCGACAGGCTCAATGCGAGGCTGAGATGAAGGTGATGTCCCTCGAGATCGACCTTAGAGTTGTATTCGAAGTATAATGTTTTCACCGTATGTATCAGGCTGTATGTACCTTCGCGCCGAATATATATTCGAGACGTGGGCATAAACCAGGTCAGGAGGGAGCGGTGGGGAACAGGTGAGTAATTCAGTATACAATCGCCGGTTCAGCTCTGTGGAATCTCCTGGACTACATTCTTTATTTTATTGATGTAGGCTCTTACGAGCAGCGGAGGTTTCGAAGGCTAAGATTGAGGAGAAGAGGAAAGCTATTGAATCAGCCAGAATGAGAGAGGTTAGTCGGGGACCGATCGCTTCTTCTTCTGGTGGTGGTATCATTACCATCGTTTCTGGATACGAAATCTCCGAAGGACTGTTCTTTTGTATAGTAGACATCAGCAGGAGATCCCAGAACACTCTCCTGCACCTGACTTCTTGGTACAGTTCTGTGTATGCAATCAGGCCACCTTTGCGCCCAAAATCACGCCCTACCCCTCTAACAAAAACAGAGACCCGACAGGCGTTCGACAGAGAGCAGGCACCCGTCAGTCGCCGAGTATCCAAGGAATGTATGGTAAGGATGGTATGGCCGCAAAACAATGCCATGCTGAAGAGGCCTTCAAAGGGTGAGTGGGCAGTGAACTTCCTCTACTGGTGAATATATGGATGCCTTTATTCTTCAGCACTCCTCCTGTCGGTCCCGATAGAGCCCCGATGCAGGGGGGTGACAGTGCTGGTGTGGTCTCGCATACGAGGCAATCAGCGAGTAGACAGTCGCCCGACCGGGCAACAATCAATAGGTGATTGACTGAGTTAGAAGCAGTGTGATCGAGCTCCTTCCAGATGGTGTGAAGAGGTGACGGCTCCGTCGCCGTCCTCTTTTCCTGTGCATGTTGGTAGTCACTTGTTGATCTCTGGCAGTAAGCAGGACAGCTCTTTCGTGCTTGGGAGATTACGATCCACCGAGTAGGCTCGCTTTTACTGCTCTGGGAGGTGGAATCAGGGTCGTAACAAGGCTGGAATAAAATATGTGCTATTGTCCGCGTTCGTGCCACTTTTGTGTTGTAGGGACGAAGCCGACTCTGTCGAAGATTTCTCGCCGTTGAGGAGAATATTTCAGCTCACAGCAGACTATAACTATGCAGCATGAGACAATTTCCGATTAATAAGATTGACCTGATCATCTTGAGTTATGGCTAGCGGAGTACTGTGGTGGAAATTACAAACATGGATAGTTAACTGCTACGGAGCATTTAGCCGTGATGGCTCGAGACTTCCACTGATGAACAGGATCATCTCAAGATTAAGCTGCCGTGTTTCGTTGTGTGTCAACTTGAAATCGAACTCACTTATGGGGTTCCGAATTTATCCTCATTATGCCCAATCCACCCCACATGGAGAGTTGTCATTTCCCTTGGTAGACTGTATCTTCCACTATGAACACAATCATTAGTCTTTCACGGAACAATCGCATTCAGTTGTACCATATGATTAACGTAAAAGACTCGTAGATAAAACAAGTCAAGACTCCACTTATGGAATATACTGAACAGTTGGTGGTGACACCATATTACTATCAAGAGAATGAATAGTAGATAAATACTTCCGCACTAAATATGCATATATATTTACATCTCCACGGGAGTGGGCATAGCAGCATCGTACTTGGCCCAATCCTTGATGGGAGCGAAGTAGCTGAACAAGGGGTAGGAGAAGTAGAGGAGACCAAGTACCCAGGCCATGAGCTGACCGAAGAACTGAGCCTGAGACTTGTACTTGCGAGGAATGCCCGCGTAGGCAGCGATGACCTTGCGGATACCCTCCTTCATATGAGACCAGAAGGCGATAACGCCGGCCTCATAGAAGAGAACCCATCCGAAGCTCTCGAAGTACTTCATCTCCATCTTGTAAAGATCCTTGAAGTGGACAAGCTCGCAAGAGGTATCGTCACCGCTGCAGTAGAAGGGATACATCCACTTGGTGCGGAAGTAGTACTGAGGAGCCGCGGCTTCGCTAACGAAGCGGAACTGGATGAGATGGACAACCAGGAACACGAAGAGAACGCAGCCAGTCAAGAACAACCAAAGCTGATCGATGCTGCTGTTCATACTCTTGAACTTGAACGTACGGACGGTAGCGACAGTAACATGCAAGAGACCACAGGCAAGAAGATAGATCTCCACAGGGAGGAGAAGAGTGCTCCAGGGGCAAGGGTGGTTGAGGAAGTAGGCGTAAGCATTGAAGTGGATAGCTCCGAAGAATAAATGGATGTTACCCAAAGCATGGATCGTGACGAAGACCATCATGAAGATAGCAGAACGAGTCAATCCAGACTTATCGGAAATGTTCTTCCAGTTCTTGATAGTGAAGATGGTCTTCAAAGTCTCGATCACAAACATCCAGATGAAGTAGCAGAGAGCAGCACAGTACGACCAAACAGAGGGTCCAAGAGGGCCATGCAAATCACAGGTGTTGCGCTCCTCACCCCACCATTGGGCAGGAACAGCCTTGGCAGAATAGTCACTGAGAAGAGGCTGAGCCAAGTTGTTGGAGGCACCAGCAGGGGCAACAGCCGAAGCCTCAACCACAGGTCCGAGGACGGCATCAGAGGCGTACTTCTCGATAACATCAGCTGGATGGATCATGTTGAACTCCTTGGAGGCGTCTTTACCGGCAAAAGTCATGATAGCTAGCTTTCCACCGGGATGCTCAGGAAGGAAGTTGGTGACATCCAGAACCTGGCCGTTGACAACCACCCAACAGTCAGTCTCGCTGGTATGCTTGGCGACCTCCTCCATAGTGATGCCGTTGGCGGGAGTAGCAGCAGGGGCGACCGGAGCGGCGGCGACGGCAGCAGCAGCAGAGGCTTCAACAACAGGTCCGAGAATAGACTCGGGCACATACTTCTCGACAACATCAGCGGGATGGATCATGTTGAACTCCTTTGAAGCGTCCTTGCCGGCGAAAGTCATGATAGCGAGCTTTCCACCAGGATGCTCGGGAAGGAAATCAGTCACGTCCAGAACCTGTCCGTTGAGAACAACCCAGCAATCACTCTCAGTGTTGTGCTTGGCAACCTCTTCCAAAGTGTAACCATTGGTAGCAGCAGCGGGAGCAGCAGCGGCGGCGGCGACAGGAGTTGCAGCGGCAGGGGCCGACGCAGCAGAGGCCTCGACAACAGGTCCAAGGATGGAATCAGGGACGTACTTCTGAACAACATCAGCAGGATGGATCATGTTGAACTCCTTGGAAGCGTCCTTGCCGGCGAAAGTCATGATAGCAAGCTTTCCACCAGGATGCTCGGGAAGGAACTCAGTAACATCAAGAACCTTGCCGTTGAGAACAACCCAGCAATCACTCTCGGTGTTGTGCTTGGCAACCTCCTCCAAAGTGTAACCGTTAGAGACGGGAGCAGCGGGGGCGGCAGCCGGAGCGGGAGCAGCCTTCTGCGCAACAGGAGCGGCCTTCTGCGTAGCAGGAGCAACCTTCAAGTCCTTCAAACTCAACTTTTGGCTGAGACCAAGAACATTTTCACAGAGATCCTTGCCAGTGAGACGGCCAAAGACGACACAGTCTAGTAGAGAGTTACCACCCAAACGGTTGTTGCCGTGAACACCTCCCATGAGCTCACCGGCGGCATAGAGGCCGCGGATGGGCTTACCCTCCTTGTCGAGAACATGACCGGTAGTATCGATCTTCAAACCACCCATGCAGTAGTGAACGAGAGGAGTGACGATGGCAACATCGAACTCGTCATCCATCTTGTAGTTGTAGTTCTTGAAGAACTTCTTTCCCCACTCATCCCAAGTCTTTCCAGACGGGTAGGCATCATAGGGACCATTGTCAGGATCGGCAGTCTGCTTGTCACCAACCTCAATGTAGCTCTTGAAGGTCTGCTCGAGAGTGGAGGGGGCGATACCCATCTCCTTAGCGAGATCATAACCACTCTTGAAGTGCTTCATAACACCACGGCCCTCGTAATGCTCGACATGCCAGTGAATATCGTTGGCAGCGGCAGAGTTGAGGACGAGGCGGAAAGGTCCCTTGTTGGCGAACATCCTGTTGGAGACGTAATCACGACGGCCAAGCTCATTGGAGAAACGCTTCCCATCGGCATCGAGAAGAAGACCACCAACACCACGGAGAGCCTCAGCAGCGAGGAACTTGACCTTGCAGTCGGGATCTTTAGGGTTACAAGGACCAGTAGGATGGACCTGTACCCACTCGAGATCGACAGTGTCGGCACCGGCGGCCATACCCATCTTGATTCCATCACCAGTGCAGTGCTCACCATTGGTGGTAGAGAGCTTGAGGAGATCGGGGCGGTACTTGGCGAGAAGACCGTCCTTGGAGAAATCAGCACCGAAACCACCAGTAGCGAGGATAACAGGGCCATAGACCTTATGGGTCTGGCCATCCTTAGTGGTGTACTCGACACCAACAACCTCACCCTTCTCATTCTTGATGAGGTCAGTGGCGCGAGCCTTGTTGATGATTTGGCATCTGCTGGGCTGGGCCTTGGAAATAGCCTCCGCCATCTGAATCTGGGCGTAAGTGATAGTCATACCGGGGAAACGCTCCTTGCCACGATGGGTACGCTCGGCAGAGTGGCCACCCAAACGAGCGAGGAGGGACAAATCGAGATCGAAGTTGTCCATCAACCAGTTGACCGAGTTACCAGAATGCTCGACCATAGTCTTGATGAGCTCGGGGCTCTTGGAGCCACCCTTCATGCAATCAGACTCGAAGAGCTCGTTGGAATCCTCAACACCGAGCTTCTTCTGAGTTCTAGTGCAAGAACCGTTGATACCAGAGGTAGCCTTGGAAGAATTACCACCGCAAAAGGCAGATTTATCGATCAAAAGAACGTTACCACCGTTCTCCAATACCGTGTTAGCGGCAGAGAAACCGGCGAGACCGCCTCCGACGACGATGACCTGGTTAGTGGACGACATGAGGTAGTAACAATGCCCCAAAAACTGAACATACGAAATTATATAACCAGATTGAACTGCATCACCATCTTTAAATTGCGATGAGTTTCACGTTTAACTCTCCACTACCAATCAAGTAACATAAGAAAATGGTGACAAACAATCTCGATATCCCCTAGTGAATACGCCGAGACCTACTGCCAACAGCACGGTTGGAGGCGAAGCCCACGACACAGCCGGGGACAGAAAAGCTAAGCTATGGGGTGAGTGCTTCCTGAGCTTTGCTTTTCCATATGAAGCTCGTGAAGCTCGGACTGTTTGATAGGCGATCAAACTGACAACCGATCAATGAATGAGTCGTTGTAAACGACTAAACTGAGTTGCGATCGTACGAGGTTATGAAGAAGCAATGGAGAATCGGTACGCTTAACTCTAAATTCGCAAATTCATTATGTGAGAGTCTTCACACTGCCTTATCGAGAATCGCTCAAAGAAACTGACACGATGAACACTATTGACGCCAAAGTGTTCATCCTGTATCGATTGGAACGAAGCGAATAGCTATACGATGGAACGCGGAGAAATGTAGACGAATCACACAAAGTCCACCATGCTCAATTCTCAAACAGCTTAGACGGAAACTATCGAACGTTCCGGATCATCCCATACTGTCACAACAACGTATTCACATGATAAACTCGGAGATTCATTGATCACATTCTACGTACACCACCGCCTATGAATATCTAGTAGTATGCGCATTCGGGAAGAGCGTTGCATCGTACTCCCTAGATGTTCAACGGTTGACTTGCCCTTCCTATCTTAACAACTGAACTCAATAAGAACAACAACTAGTGGAAACGTGACCCAACACGGGTAACTGAACTAGACGGGTCCGCCCTAATACGCCACGGCGGAATTCACAATTGGATTGAGAGTATACCGTGACATAATGATCGGGAACCGGGAGCTGGCTGAACAACCAAAGCAACTTAAATAGTAGACGATTATCGAACCGCCAATCATACACAAAGAAAACATTAGCCGAGTCAACGACTAGAAAAATATCAGAGGCAAATAGCCTCACCACAGGAGCAGCCCAGTAACATCATTTACATCTCCACGGGAGTGGGCATAGCAGCATCGTACTTGGCCCAATCCTTGATGGGAGCGAAGTAGCTGAACAAGGGGTAGGAGAAGTAGAGAAGACCGAGTACCCAGGCCATGAGCTGACCGAAGAACTGAGCCTGAGACTTGTACTTGCGAGGAATGCCCGCGTAGGCAGCGATGACCTTGCGAATACCCTCCTTCATATGGGACCAGAAGGCGATAACGCCGGCCTCATAGAAGAGAACCCAGCCGAAGCTCTCGAAGTACTTCATCTCCATCTTGTAAAGATCCTTGAAGTGGACAAGCTCGCAAGAGGTATCGTCACCGCTGCAGTAGAAGGGATACATCCACTTGGTGCGGAAGTAGTACTGAGGAGCCGCGGCTTCGCTAACGAAGCGGAACTGGATGAGATGGACAACCAGGAACACGAAGAGAACGCAGCCAGTCAAGAACAACCAAAGTTGATCGATGCTGCTGTTCATACTCTTGAACTTGAAGGTACGGACGGTAGCGACAGTAACATGCAAGAGACCACAGGCAAGAAGATAGATCTCCACAGGGAGGAGAAGAGTGCTCCAGGGGCAAGGGTGGTTGAGGAAGTAGGCGTAAGCATTGAAGTGGATAGCTCCGAAGAATAAATGGATGTTACCCAAAGCATGGATCGTGACGAAGACCATCATGAAGATAGCAGAACGAGTCAATCCAGACTTATCGGAAATGTTCTTCCAGTTCTTGATAGTGAAGATGGTCTTCAAAGTCTCGATCACGAACATCCAGATGAAGTAGCAGAGAGCAGCACAGTACGACCAGACAGAGGGTCCAAGAGGGCCATGCAAGTCGCAGGTGTTGCGCTCCTCACCCCACCATTGGGCAGGAACAGCCTTGGCAGAATAGTCACTGAGAAGAGGCTGAGCCAAGTTGTTGGAGGCACCAGCAGGGGCAACAGCCGAAGCCTCAACCACAGGTCCGAGGACGGCATCAGAGGCGTACTTCTCGATAACATCAGCTGGATGGATCATGTTGAACTCCTTGGAGGCGTCTTTACCGGCAAAAGTCATGATAGCGAGCTTTCCACCGGGATGCTCAGGAAGGAAGTTGGTGACATCCAGGACCTGGCCATTGACAACCACCCAACAGTCAGTCTCGCTGGTATGCTTGGCGACCTCCTCCATGGTGATGCCGTTGGCGGGAGTAGCAGCAGCAGGGGCGACCGGAGCGGCAGTGGCGGCGGCGGCAGCAGCAGAGGCTTCAACAACAGGTCCGAGAATAGACTCGGGCACATACTTCTCGACAACATCAGCGGGATGGATCATGTTGAACTCCTTTGAAGCGTCCTTGCCGGCGAAAGTCATGATAGCGAGCTTTCCACCAGGATGCTCGGGAAGGAAATCAGTCACGTCCAAAACCTGTCCGTTGAGAACAACCCAGCAATCACTCTCAGTGTTGTGCTTGGCAACCTCTTCCAAAGTGTAACCATTGGTAGCAGCAGCGGGAGCAGCAGCGGGGGCAGCGACAGGAGTGGCAGCGGCAGGGGCCGACGCAGCAGAGGCCTCGACAA